ATGAGTTGGAAAAGCCTGCGAGTGTTACCAGAGAGTGCAGCAGTCTCCATCTCTAAAGCACGCTCAGACCACCATGTCTCGCGATCCTTGCATAGGCTTTGCTTGCGCAACCGGTTGGCAGAACGGCGCCGCTCGTTGCAATCTGATTCCCCCGGAATATCTTTGCGGCGTTCGAACAGCTCCAGAGAACGAGCAGAGATCCAAGCCTGCAAGGGGCGTCGCGTTAGGCCGCAGCATGACTGTCCGGAAATGGTCATTGCCTTCCGTATACAAGTCCAGTGTTGTTCCACTTCTTGCGGTGGATTGCAACTGAGTGCATATGCCAGTGAAGACTGATAGCTCACCTGGACAGAGAAATCAGTTAATCTGTTTACATCCATCTTGCGGTGTTTCGTGTTTCGGGACCTCCAAAAACACTTGCAGGTTTTCGCACAGACCACTTCATGATCTGAGTCAACGAAGGTGGACCAAAAGGACCTGCAGTCCAGTACGCTACCACTCCATCTGAAGCTAATTGCGGTGTGATCAATTTGAGACCACGGTTGTGTTGGCGAAGGGGGACGCCACGTTGTGGAACGCTTCTTCGTACGCCTGAAGTTAGTGCTCGAGAGAAACAGATGATTGTCTTCGCACAATGTGCGAAGCCTCTCTCCGTTATCAGAGCGGTTCTCATCGAGCGCATGTTGACCACCTAGGTGGCGTTCGTATGGTAACAGGCAGCCAACCCGTGCATTAAAATCCTCAGCAAGGACAACGACATCCGACTTTTTAGCATTAGTCAAGAGCTGATGTAGATTCCGGTAGAATTCGTCCTTGACCGAGCCGCCACTGCAGTCAGTTGGAGCGTCCACGGAGATCACAAACAAGTTGCGTCTCTCATCGCGGTGCTTGTCGATTCTACATGAATCACGAAGCCGAACTGCACATATCCAGCTGTTAATCAGGAACCACTCTACTAATGCCGCTTCGGCCTTGCCACTTATTGCTATACCTACACCAGCCAAACCCGCTGATGCTGCTTATGGATGTCCAAAATGACGTAGGTGATATCTGGCTTCGTGTTCAGTGGGGGATGTCAATGTAAGTACAGTGCTGGGATCTTGCAACCGGGTTTCTGAAAGACAGCAGACATCAATATTGAGAGACTCTAGGGTACGCGCTAGATTGGCTTGGTGTCCAAGCTGCATGAGTGTCCAAACGTTGAAGCACGCCAGACGGAACGAGGATCGGGGACGAAGTAGAGCCATAAGTTGAACTCCGTGGTTCGCGGCGCAACCGGAATCGCAGCCAGATTGTTGAACACATGAATCGGGTAACGGAAAGTAAGGATTGTTAGCAAACAAACATTTGGCGTTTGATGAAGTCGCGTGAACGTGAGAAGCTGAAACGGTAACTGATGAACACGTTGTAGTACAGTTCATGGTTTTGTGAGAGGGCGTGATACTACCCGGTTGCCCAAGCCGTAGTAGGGAGTTAACTTAGGGGACCCCACCCCGAGGCATTTGCTAAATTACCTACCCGCAAGGCAACGGGGAGAATTCAGGGAATGGCGCCCATTGGGAGGTGCTGTCTGAATGTTCAGTTCATGCGTCTTTCGTTTGGTAGATTACCAAACAGGCGCCAAATACTCCCCATGAAAGCAGCACAATTACTGGACAACAATCCCCCACCGAGGTGGAACACTGTCGCCGAACATTTCGCTGGAACGGGGTACACCCCGACCACCCAGCTGGCACCATGAGGAGGTAGTTGGGCAATCCAGCCGGGCTCTCAATGCGTAACCGTTTGTGTGCGCTTAACTAACACCTCTTTATTGCTTCGGCACGTTATCCAGCTGCAACTTGAATGGCGTCTAAAATGAATGAATTATATCGAGAGCTCTGATCTCCATATTTCTGACCAACACTACGGATATTTTGCTCGTTTCTGGCGAAATGGATAATTATGTGAATCACTTACCCTGGAGGTCCTTTTAGAGTAAATACTTGTGGGAAGTATGATGGCGATCGGTTTCTTCGACTCGTTGCCGACGAACGACAACACAGCTGTTTACTTGGCGCCATGTGATGCCCACCGAACTTATACTTGGCTTCCACCACATCGCCATCAGTCGGCGCAGTCGATGCAACAACTACTCCTCGGTTCTTAGAAGAGCACGGAGATGTCTCATCCTTCAGTCTGCCAGGACTCATACAGTTCCATCAATAAACGAACCTGTAATCCTCAAACGGCCAACCCTAACCAGCCTTGCAGTAAGGCTTTACACTTAAAAGGAACAGGGTTCTTTCCACATTGTAGGACAGATATTTCCAGATGACATAGTTTATCGTCCAGATGTGGCTTTTCAGGTTAATCTCAGAGATGTTCATAACAAATCTGCATACAAAGCGTGAAACCGGGTAACCTTACGTTGCGCCACGGTTGGTATTGGTGAGATATCTTGTACCAGCACATAGCCCGGGGTGTGCGAGTAATTGAGCCGAAGCATATTAACTTACTTCCTTGACGTGCCCTTTCTCACAGATCCGTCAACTGAGCCTTGTTCATTGTACGCTAGACGTTTGATGGTGCTGGGGTATTTACTGATTGTAAAGATATATTCAACACGGCTCCGACCAGAACGAAACAGCCTGCCCTTCATAATTTCCCATGTTTTAGCATACAAATCGGTTTTTCTCTAGGCTTATATTGTGACAACATTTCGCCTTTGACACAAGAGCTTCAGGTCAGGCCTGCCTTTTACTTAGATGTTGTTCGCGTAGTAATATGACGGCGGATAATTTTAGTGCAAGACAACTGTAGCTGGCCTATCAATGCCTAGCGCTTCTTCTTATCCTTCATTTATAGTCACAACATCCGCTGGCCTCTGTTCTTATGGAGCTTGTTTGATGCTCCGAATCCTCTGCTAAGAAATCGGTCCGCAGACATAATCTGAACGGATCAGTTTGTCTTTCACGTTTGCCTTCTCATATCGTCTGCGATAGCATAGTAGCAAGAACTTCATCTGAATTCAGCCAACCAACCACTGTCTGAGCACCAAAGCATGCGGCTGACTTAATTGTTCCAACCTATATCGCTATAAGATTGCAGATGAATAATATTCTTTTTGGGAAAGAGGAATCATGATGGCCTCAACTTCGAAAGAAGAGAAATGAAACCGTGTAATCGCTTTTAGCTTCACAACGGCGTCTTTTGAGAACTTGTTTTTGCCCTTCGCGGAAGTCTATCTTTCAGACCTCATCCAATAAGGCGCACTACCCGGTCAACTCCTTCGGTCAGCTCCCACATACTTTTTTGTCATCTCAGACAACCAGGTTCAGCGCACTGGCTGTTACCTCCTTGACACTTGCGATTATCGGCCAACAATCCGATAGTGGTCAGTCGATTCGCTCCCCAAAGTATATGAATCCCTACGAATCAAATCACTCAGGGGCGTGCTCCGCTCACCAGGAAATTTTCGGTTTGCTTGCTGCGTGATTTTAGTTAATCGGGCGACCTTAGTACAATGTTGCACGGCTTCCAGTCTAACTATGTAAATCCAAAGGATGGGCGCTGCGTGAAGCTTTTCCTTTCTGTGCACCTGTGGCTCTGTGTATGAATAAATAATAATAATGTCAGCTGTACGCCGTAACGGCGCTTCACTGCCACGCGACCACCAGTCGCGCGCGGGCTGAGTGTACCGCGTGGACGCCCACCCCTACGCGGACTCGAGCCGGTGACCTTATGGTTGCAAACCAGGCGCGCTGACCACTTGGCCACCGGCCGACACTCGGTCACCGTCCGACTGTGTGTGAGAGAGAGCGTTGTGCAAACGATGCTGATGGTGTCCACCGGTTGGTTACAAATGGTGGTGCAGTATTAGTCCCTACACTTAACGGTTGTCGTACAGCTTTCAACAACGTACATCACACTTTGTATGATTGCATACCGCATCCTTGATGATACTCACAAAAAGCTGGACTAGCAAGTACCATCCTCCCGGATGGGGCTTTTAGAGTCCGTTAACCCGAAGGTTAGGGGCAGGTTCCGATTTAAATCGTGCACAGGACTAGTGGAGCTCGTACATATGGTTTCTTGCATCTTACTGTCAGCTTTTCTCTCCCGACAACAATCCTTTTTCACTTCATTTTCATTGTTTCTGTTTGGGTTGTTTCATGCATTTTCGTCGTTTTTGTGTTCACGCCAATTTTTATTACGCAAAATTCATTTCGATGTGAATCAAAACCACTGGATCCACCACACCTCGATGATTGTATCATAGTTGTACAATGGTCTTACCGATTTCACACCACTTCGCCTTTACCCAACTCGGTTGATGGCCTTGTTCATTTTAGACTGTGGAGACGTTTCGCTAATCCCATGACTTTACAAACAGGCTAAATTTAGGCACTGTAGACCATGGAGTGTATCGCAGTTTGCACTTGAGCCCACATACTCTATCTTCCGATGTGATCACCTCTAGGTAGATCTTCTCTTTTTTTCAGCTGCTTTGCTTGGGTTGACAATGTCCATCTCTCCTTATTCGATGTTCTCTTAAATTGTGGTTACCGCTTGGTTTCTCTTTTTCATGGGCTATAACCATGTTCGTCACATCCACTTACTGTAGAATTCTGCTCTTCGCCTCGTGTGTCTTTCCGATAAACTATGTGTTGCTCCTTCCCAGCTATCATACGTCGACAAGCTGTTAATACGTATTTTAGTCGCTCTTTTTCGCGCTCTTTCTATCCATGAAAAGCATAGTTGCTCCAGCTGCACCTCACTTAGTTAGATTTCAATAACGACCTACCACCGGGCTATATCGTTCATTTTCCTCTCGAGGACGATTCCGAGAGTGTCCCGCAGTTTTGTCCAGTGTTTAATTCGCTTTAGTTACAGCTATCCACTCACTCACTGCTCGACGTTTTGGCGCAATGCACGCCGTTCACGCCCGATGTGTGGATACCATCATCCCGTGTGCCCTTTTTCGTCTCTACTGCCACCCTTCCCCTCCCCTCTTTTAGCCACTACTCAATCCGCTCTGCAGAACCTTTTGGACCTTATCACATGCTTAATTTTGTATAATACTGTGATCCCGATCAGTATACCCGTGATGCTCGAGGTTGTGCGATTTACACAAGCTTTGTACATAAACTGGGTGAGTCTCGCCTACCACCGGATCGGTCATTTTTACGCTCATATTTGCCTCCCTTATGTACTGATCACGATTAACGTCTCCATGCCGAAGCGTTTTTTTCCTCACCGTATATTGCCTCCTGCTCATTTGCCTGTATGTGCCTAATATTCATGTATCGTCATTTGTTTGTGCTCTTTGCCCCCCGCCTCCAATCTCCACGCCTGCCATGCATTCGCGCACTTCCCACTATCCCATCGACCTCATCGTATAATGATGCCGATGTTCTTCTGCTCGTGGTACCGTCACCTTCATTTCAACGGCTCATGAACCGACCACCAATCCGGATGTATGGTGTTGACTCGGCCGTTCCGTTCGTCACCATCAACTCAACTCATTTTTTTACACGTGTGCGCAACGCATGCATTTGGTTGCTTCGTGTGTTGTAAACGTTGACACGATGTGACTCTTCTATATACCCCGGGTGTGTTCGCTTGCGCTGTCCTCTTTTATTCCCTTCTACGGCCTGCTTCATGCGGTATATTCGTTTTCTGCGACGCATGTTTGTGTGCACTTGTGTGTGTGTGTGTGCATGTTGTCGGTGCACACACGCAATCAATTGCAGGCACGATCAGCGCAGTGTATGCATTTAACATGCTTCTCACCGCCTTTATTATGTTTCACACCATGGTCCCAATCAGTCTGCAAGTCACTTTGGAGATGGTCCGCTTCGTTCAGGCACTCTTTCTCAGCTGGGTCAGTTTGGTGCGCTTTCCCCTTGAGGGTCCTCTGTTTGCATATTTTCCTGTTATGATCACAGTCACGTATCTCCTACATGTGTCCGACCCGACAAGTGCTCTTCCAGTCGCTTCATTCTTCGTCCGATCGATCATTGTGCTCGAATGTCCAATGCTGGTCACTCGCGCTCAACTCTATTGTACTACTCCCCCCTATCAGTCCGCAACGCTTCCCTGTGACCAGTGGTTGCAACTACAGTGACGGAAAGCTGAAGCTATTAAAGAGGTCACTTTTCTTTAGCCCTTGGTACCTGCGACTCAGCGCTCCTATCTGGTGAAGCCACTTAGAGAATGCGACCAAGTCCCACCGATTGCTCTTTAGACATAAGCCCTCTGGCTTTCTCTTGCGTTGCCCATCGAACTGCCCACATATCTGCTGACCACCGCATCGAGCGCTGTTTTATGTAACCTCAGGGAAGCCAAGTGATAACAGGTCTTCAGTAATTGAGTCACGCTAGTGTGTTATACTGTGCTCCTTAATGTAGTCGACCACGTTAATGGTGCATCTCACAGTCGCAAGGAGTAGCATTTTGCAATCAGCAGCTTCCTTCGGAATGTTGACCCTTCTGTACGATGGTTCCAACGTTTCCATCCCTATAGATGCTATGCGTGTTAATTGATGGTATCAACAGTACTCCGGTACGCAGTACCGGCGCTTCGCTGTCACTAAACCACCGCCGGTGGCATCTGGGCTAAGGATACTGCGAGGGTCGCCCTGCTCCGGCGCATGCTGAACCCGCGCCTCCGGATTAGAAGACAATATCGTTACCATTAAACTATGGGCCGGCGTGTTAACTTATCTCACGTCCCGAATCCACAGCGGCTCTCACTCATATGTTTTAGGCCTAACGCCTTTGACCTTGTGCTGGACGTGGCATATGTCGACACTGCAACGCAAACAGCGTGTGGTACCACCGGACGCAGTCGTCTTCAGGCTGTGCTCAATCTCAGTGATGAGCAAATCCAAAATCGTATCTCGACAACTGGCAATAGTACGTACTGCTGTTGAAGATGTGAAATACCACTCACTTGACTCTACAATGTATTAGTCTCCGTACAATGGTGCTCTTCATCGATATCTACACTAATGAGACCATGTAGAACCGGCGATGTCAATTTCCATTTGGCACATCACTCACACGGTACATATTTAAGGACTCACCGGGTTACCTTAGGGATTCTCTCTTGGTGCACTACAAGCGGACATTCTTGCATTTGATACAGAAAGCCCTCAGCAATACGCCGGTACATCGCGCCGACGTTTCGCTGCCACATGACTACGAGCAGTCGCGCGTACCCCAGATACTGCGAGGGTCTCCCGGTCCCATACGCAGGCTGGAACCGATGATATCCGGGTCTCAAGGCAGACGCCTTGCCCTTCTGGCCCCTACATATGAAGTTAGCTTGTTACTGACACCACTTGGTTCTTTCTTTTGCAGCTCGTCTCTTCTAAGGCTGTGGATGCTTTAGCCCCAACTGTTAACTGCCGTTACTGTCTTTTTGCATTCATTCCCATACGATTTTCTGACGCCTACGTCAGATTCCACGAATGATGATGCTGCACACACTTGTCTTGGCAATGCACCAGGCATGTCTTGTGTTTCAGCTACACCATGGCATTGCGACACACTGTCTGCACCATGATTGAGCTTCTGTTTGCTTTGCAGTTACTTTTGCCATCTGGTAAATGGTTTATGAAGTATCCACCGAAACGTCTTCGCAATGCTTTTACTCCTTATCTATCCTCTTCCTAATCATATTGTCTCCAACTTGGCTCGATTGACCGCGAGTGTTCATTTCTGTCACCTAAAGCTATTCCTCTTCGTCCTACTACTGTGACAGTTGAATGTCAGCGAACTTCGTTCGCACCCTCAGCTATTCTATTGATCTCTCGTTTGCTAATCCGCGACCTCCGGTTCATTAGGCAGTGTGCAGTCGGGCCATTGCTTCCTATCTACAACACCTCCACTGCCTCCGGCAACACATGATCTTCATTTGACCACACTCCAAGTTTAAGATGTGTTACTAACCAATTCTCCAAAAGTACATAACGAATCCCATACGAGACCATGCTCTCAAACCACAACCTATCGCTTTCAGCGCTTGTCGATGGCTGCATTCATTAGATGTAGTGTTTTGCGATCTGAGGTTGACACGCACGCATCGCTCTACCAGTCATGGTCGTTACCATAGCAAAACTTACGCACGTATCATACACACACAGCCACTCAACTTCTGGACTGTGCACATTCCCGTCGTTTCTTTGCACTCCAGAAATCCATTCCGACACCCACGTCGTCTCTTTCAGGGGTGCCGGTATCGATCAGATTAAACTACACCTTCCATATGTTCCCTTACATCATACTATACCACGTTTTAACCGGAAGACACATCTGGACGGGCATTTTCACGACAGCAGGTCTAAGCTAACGTGCTCTCCACGGAAGTGCGGTTTGACGGTCTGTAGTGACCCTCAATGTAATGTTCACCCGTAATTGTTCACCCGTATCTTCATTTGACTTGCAGTACTGTGCACCATCGATGCACCCCATAGACTACTCGTTTGTTTTTGTTACACCAGGTCAACTGGTAGTATCATGAAGTATTGCAGCTACAATCAAAGTGCTTCAAGTATCCCATATAATCGGGTCGCGCGAGCATATTTGACCTGGTGCCGAGGTGATGGCTCTCCTGCGCAACCTCTTTTCACCCCGGCATACATTACGCGAGGTATTTTCCAAGCCTAGTAATCGATTACCGATATTTGTTTGTTAATCGTCATATACCTCTTCACCCAGGTTACTTGGCGACGTCTTTATTGTTGGTTGGACTCTCGACTGAAAAATTGATGTATGGTTACTTGTGATGTGGCGTTACTGCGTATGCATTGTCTATATGCTGAGCACACATTTAATGTACCTCGCTTTCTCAACATCACGGCACATAGAGATCGTTACTAACTCCAAATTATGTAGTCAACGCCACCATTTTGTTGGATTATCAAGCTATTGTGGAATTTTGCTCATCTTCGCCTTGTCGAGTGTAGTCTTCTCTCCCTATATGTGCCTGACAAGTGGCCCAACGGATCTACTCCATCTTGTTTTTCTGATTGCCTTCCATGGGATTCAGTGTTCCGGGATTGTTGTCTTAAGGAATCAGTGACGCGATTATGCTTTCGCAGTATAGTGGTCCCGTGGCCGCGGCTTCATTCCGGTCTGCTGTCGCGAACAGCTGAACTCGAACAATGAGCCACCTATCTTACAAAAGACATCTAAGCGTAACTTCATTGCCACTACCTTCGGACTGCTCATGCGCATCATCCTTCTGCCACCCACGCCTTCACAACGGTCGGACCAATCAAATTCAAACTGAGCATATGCGCCTACTTTACAGCTGCTATAGCAACACTTTTTACCACTTACCCACCGGGGTCCTCTTCCTTGAGTTGATAGTAGCCTCCGAGTCCATCTTTATGTGTTGTGTCTTGGATATTCCTTTAGGTCCATTGATGTGTATGCCACGATTGTGGAAGACCTTTGAATAATTGGCGCATTACCGTCCCTCTGTTCTCACAATAGGTGTTGGAGTGTATCAGGGTTACCTCGATTCTTCATTATTCATTGTTTCTTGTTGGGTCTTGTCAGCAATTCCCTTCCAAATGCTTCCGGGGATCGACCTGACAACCCTTGTGTTTGGAAGTCAGCGGATTGCACCCTTAGACTATGAATGACGTACGCAGTCAGCTGTGACCGGTTACGGTCAGAAATACATGCTTTCCGTCCTACGCCGTCATGCATGTTGTGAACGCAGACGACAAAGATGACCTCGTCGCTGCCTTCTCTGTATTAGACCTTCGGTTACCTACCCAACCAATAACCAAAACTGCTTGAATGCTTTAGAGGAGATTTGTCTTAGCCGATTGGACAGACTCGTGCATATTCGTTAACGCGTTGAGCGGTCGTTTCGTCATGTTGCGACTCGTCGGCATTCGAACCCAAATCGATATTTGAAAGCCTGTGGCTTGTGCTACTAGCTCACGGTTTACGGCGGCCGATCTTATGGTTCCTTCGTTTGGACGCGATCACACTGAGGCACTCTTAGATGAGCTGACTGCATGCCGCAATCTATGGAATCATTACCACACCTCCATGGTGAGTAGTACCATCACAGCAGTTCTCACACCTACAAAGAATCCAATAGAGATACTCCATCAGCTTACCTATTAACGTTACGGTATCATCACATATGGTCAAACTTTTGAATATGTTGCTGTTTCATAAGTGACGCCTTTGTTTTTCGAATGTCTCAGTCATCTGCACAAGCAGTGAGATGTTAGTTGCTCGTTTAACAGTTGGGTGCAAAGCTCTGCGATGCGATCATGTGTGTCTGTATGGATCGGAGACAACCGCTGCGCGATGAAGATGTTGAGAAATGACCGTGGTTAACCATCTAATTCGTCGAGGCGTTACTTTTATCCGATGTGCCCACCAAGTGAATGCTGCTGAAGTCCACCGGCTGGTCTTTGACAACAAACCCTCTGTTTCCTCACAAGTGTGTCTAGTCTAGTTAGATCATGATCTCTTGGTACTTTCCGCTCGCCTGTCTTAGCTTGTAATGCGTTCTGGTGTTTCACCTCGACCAACCGGTTGATAATATGGCAGAACGACTGTTTCCTATATGAAAACATTTGGTTCGGTCACATCGGGATTCAGAAGGCTTTTGCAATTGGGAAATCTTGCTATCTCACATTTGTTTCCTTCCTCTTGGTTTTTAACTCTTTCGTCCTAACATTTTAGTTCTGTCTTTGCTCGTTTGTCTCGATTTTCCTCAATTCTATTTAACTGTTTGTGATCACCATTATAACTATTCTATAGTCGCTCAGGCAAGACTTAACCAGGTCCAATCATTTTGTTGCTGGAATCGTGGCCTATTATCTAGCCTGACCTAATCTAAACATGACTTTGTCTCGGCTACGCGTCTACGAATCACATTCCGACTACGATTAGACTAGCACGTGCACAATTTTATTTGCCACCGTTCATGAGGATGGTGGACTCGATTCGAGTTGGATGCTTTCCACTCTTGTTTGAGTTCCCCGGCGCCCTTGACTGGCATCCACTCATTGCCTCTGACGTCACTTTGTGCTCATTTCGAAACGTGCGCATTTTGATCGTTGCATCAGTATTTATGGTATAACTAGTTCTAGTGCACTCAGTTGTGACTACGCTGTCGCTTCATACAATCCTTGCAAATTATTTTGTCATTTTAACCCTCGCTTATTTTACTCGCTTGAATGCAGATGCTGTTGTCTTATTTGTTTTCAACCCCTCTGGTTCGATGAGTGCGTCGGTTTTGTCTCATTTACCCCGATTTGGTTCCTTCATGTGTGTTTCCCGTGTTTGCTGATGGGTGTAACGATTTCTTTGTTACCTTTCAGGACGTAGACATGTATGATCCCGATACGGACACTCCTGCGATGGCACGGACGTCGAACCTGAACGAGGAACTTGGACAGGTGAGTTGTTCATCTCGCCTCATACACAACGAATCTTAACGCAATGCAACGATCTGTCTAATTCTTTGCTGTTACAAAAGGACGACTTTAACTTGGTGTGACGGTTTGCCTACATCTTTGACCCATTGTACTATACTGGGTGGTGGCCCGCACACCTTGAGAGTTACTCCTACCAGGTTGGTCAGTTGTTAGAGGTCAGACAAACTCAATCTCCTGGTCCTTTAAGTTTGGTGTTGAAAATGGTAGCTGTGTCACCTCTGGTGGTCATATCACTGAGGAAGTAGCTTCACGTATCAGCAAGGCCTGCGTGGCTTTCCAGAAACTCAACTATCTGTGAAGACGGTGGGATATTAGCCTGTCAGTGAAAGGTAGGGTGTATAGCGCTACGGTAAGACCGGTGTTATTGTATGAATCAAACACTTGACCAGTTCGCGGCGAAGACATTGGACGCTTGGTCGGGTTTGACCACTGGTGCTTGCGGAAACACCGGGTGAGCAATGCTGAGGTCCGCCAGTTGGTTTATGAAAGGATGCTTTCTGTTTGACCGGCTTCCGCGGCGTGCATTATGCGCCGTGGCTGCATCAGTTTGGCCGAAACCGCGAGGTGACCAGTCCATGATGTGGCATAGAGGCATGAAAAATCAGAGATTTGGTCAGGCTGGATGGGAGCCTCGGGACGCTCCACACTAATGATTGAAGACCGATTCACACATATCGCAGTCAGGAGTGTTGATGCATTCCGTTTCTTGCATCTGGTTGTTTATTTTCGTTCCACTGATTAATCTAATGCACTTCCTTTTAGCTTCCATTTTGTTCATATTCCATTTACATTCAACCCCACTATCTTGACATGACATTTATTGTTACTCTTGCGATGTGAATCGTGGCAACTGGATTCACTGCACCTCGGTGCTTGGATCATATTTGTTCAACTGAACTGAACTGAATTGTTGAGTACGTGAAGAACATGGCTGATGAGTTACACTAGCGTTGATGAATGGAAGTGATGACCCCTTCCACGATTTTGAGACATTCCGGAGCGATCGGCTCTGATGGGAATAACCAGCAAGGTGAGTAACATCGTATCCTACATCAGTATGTAGCCAGCTTCCTTGAAACATCACAGTGGCTACCTTCGGATATTCATTTTGCTGCATAGCATCAGTTAGATCCACTACTTTTCCCATGAGTGATGGAATATTGCTGGATTGGATCATTGGTATCTGTGTCTTGTCAACTGGACGACGTCTAAAATCGATTCGCCAGCCAGCACAGTGTTTTCCCAAGACTCGTTTAAAACTATTTCTGACTTTTTGGACATACTCAACGTTGCGCGGATCTAGAGCAGTATCCCGGAGAGATGTAAAAACGTTATCGAAAAAGGACATTGGGGTCAACAAAATAGTTTAAACAAAATTCCGCAAACGTTTTATGATTTGGTTACATTCGCAATAGCTATAGTGGGGATTATTTTCCAACGAGAAAAGCAACGACCAATTTGAAGATCCCGATGATATGGTCGATGTAGTCTCGATTGTGACGAAATCCGGCTTGTTCTTCATGAATCTGGCTTTCCCGTGCGCAACTCAGTCAATAGGAAGCGACAGAAGCAAGGCAACAGTGATCAGACTGAGGTGTCTTTGATTTCCACATTCCAGATGTGAGCCCCCTTTTGAATACTCTGACTATAACGGAGCAATTTTAGTTTATCGTTTCCAAATTTTCACTGTCAACTCGTGTCTGTAAGAGGTGGTCCCCCGAAAATGAAGAATGCTGGAGCAAGACCATCTAGCTTTGCGACCCTATACGATATCAGCAGTTTAATCACAAGTTCCATTTCTTCGTGGTACGGTGGATCCAGTGATACAGCCCAAGGAGCAGCTTCATCTCTGGATGGCAGCGAATCTGGTAGTTCTTACTGGTTTAAATGCTTTCCTGTGTTCAACAGAACCTCCCAAACTACTTGTCAAGTTGTGGATTTGCTGTCCACTCTCGTCGCATATAGTCTCGCTAACACCAGGCCTCTTGCCGCCCGTTTCTCGTATGAGACAAGATAAGTTCCGATGGTTACCAAGGACAGCGGCCGTTTTCATCTACGCACGTTAAGACCACCTCGTTTCGCAGTCTCTGCTCAGGCTAATGCACAGTTTTGTCCTGAGATCTTTACGAGTTTCGTGTTTGATTCCAGCCGGAATGTGTCGGCGAGCATCCAGAAATTCCAGAGACGGCGCAGAGAATCATTGCGGAAGCTGGCAGTCAAATTTACCAATGAGGTTTAATAAACGTGGGACCAATGAGTACTTACTTAGCTCGGATGTCATCGCGCTTGAATGCACACTCAGAACACCTGGCTTCGCCAATCGGCTAATGTCTACATGCCAACAGTGTCGTCGCGGGCATCAGCCTAAAGCGCTCACAGATCAACACACAAAAGTGCATTGTCGGAGTCCACCTTTGTGCTCCACATCTAACGGCAGTCTTGGACGCGACCCCTCCTGCGCTTACTGATTAATGTAGTCGATTTGCGTCATTGGCTGGTTTACGTGTGTTGCGCCGAATGTTATTGCACGCCAGAAATAGACGTACATCTTCACACAGATGTAACAGCCGCTCATCCTATTCATTGTGGCAGCCTGCGTCGTCTTGTCTGTTCATCAGTGAACAATTTTCCAACTTAAGCTTTCCGATCATCAGCCAGCACTGCAGTATCGATACTTCTTCCGCGAAGAAGAAACTCATTAACTTTTCGATAGAAGTCCTCTTTCACTGAGTCAGAGCTACATTTTGTGTGTGCGTAGACAGTATTGACAAATCAGCACTTATTGTCCCCGCGCGACTTGGAAGTTTTAGTGAGCCAGTCAGTCAGACCGCGTACAGCTGCTTACTGATTGGGATTCAGTTGATCAGAGCATCTTCAGCCCGGGGCTTCAAGGAAACGTCCACATCGGCTTGACCGGCATTTGAAGCTGTCTTATCTCCGGATAGGCTATGTGAGAAAGTACCGCCAATGTCACTTAAAAGGGATCGTAGCTTGAGCGGGCGGGTTTCCACTAAACAGCGGATCTTGATTGATGCAGCTTCTAATGCCCGGACAAGGGCTACCAGTTGGCCGATCTGTAACAAACCTGCTCATGTCGAGGCGCCTCAGTCTTAGCGAGGATCGAGGGTCTCAACTGGAAACAGTTGAACTGTTGTCTGTTGGGCTGAGTACGGGCTTGTCGAAAGAGCAGGAGTGACGCTCTGTCATTGCGCTTGAGTTGAAGCTAGAAGACATATACCTATCAATGCAGGGTGGGTTGGGCCCAAAATTTTTGGGTTGAAAACAGGTGCTAATTACGAAGTAGGAACGGGATGCTAAGGATGAAAGTGCGCGAGGTGTGGGTTACGAATACGAGAAGGCCTGAGCAGTAGCATCCTCACCACTAGCCACTTCACTCGATGCAGTAGATAGGGTATTGTTACTTATCCTCTTCGACAGTCAAGGCATCAATAAATTTTCGCCACGATACTGTCAAGTTGACCTACTTTATGTAGGAGAACGATTAGGGTTCTCAATCAAAGCGTTTGGTTCGAATACCTGACCGTGTGTGATGGTGAGCTACCGGGAGTCCGTTTTAAGAACTAAGGGCCACCTTCATTTCAACCCCCCAATCTGTGGGACCATTCTGCTGAGCTTTCCTGACCTCTAGCCATTGACCAAGGGAATACGAGTGTTTTTGAAGTTATCTGAAGCACCACCCAGCGCAGCTCAGTGGATCGTTGGAACATATAAACCATCACACCAATCTCGTCGCGATGGTCTTACCTTGGATTTTGTATCACCTTTATCAATCACAGTACTGATACTACCTAACGAATTAGCAAAACCCAAATGGCTTTTCAAAGTCCCAATCATCTGTGGGGACAGTGGGATTTCTACCTGTCGGCCATGGCAGGTTATGCAACACTGCAACAAGGCTGGTGCTACTTTATAGACCATAAACATAGACAGTTCGCAATGAAGACATTAATAGATTGGTGGTACTTTATCACACCGGTTCTTGCGGAATGTTGGTCACTTTCCATGAAGTTCGCTAGCTGGCATTAGAAAAGGGTTCATCAGGTTCCGCTTTACGTCCGTTGGCTTAATCATCCCCTCCGGATGTTGTCGCAGTACCTCGGCTATCGAAATAGGACTGAACCTTGCGATAGTTTGCATGCCTCATCGATCCATTCAGGCATGCCTTATACATTTTTTGCACGCTAGTTATATGTCAGTGATTCACAGTATTGGTACTCCAAGTTGGGGTGTAGTTTGAGAGTGGCTACTTGTTACTTAAAACGGACTGCATTGAAACAATCACCAAAGGACCATATTATTGCGGTCAGGTTTCTGAACCTTAATCGTTTCCCTACCTAAGCTTAGTCAGGTTAACATTTTCCTGTCAGCATAACCCGATAAAAACCATTTCATATCATTTCTTGATGCTCTGGATGTCGGAAAGGGTTATCAGCTGCATCAATCGGTTGGATAGTACTAAGGGCAATCACTCTCCACAATAAGAGTACATCAACCATTTTAACTGACGCTTCGCTGCCGTAAAATTACAATGACCTACGAAACGAAGAACGATACTAGGGAGATTAGGGGAACCTATCGAAAAACCTTAATGCCGTAAGCAAGCATACAAGGACAAGACGCCTGCACCTTGTAAACAACATCCTGTCACAAACAAATGACTATCGTGCACAGATAAAGCACTATCGGCAAGACAGATTCCTTGCGGCTTTTACTGCTTTGCGTCACCATCAGCAGATTGTTCAGCACCAAACACAGTTTAAACAGACTGTCTGACTTCGAGACGATAGCAGATGCGCCACTGTTGCCTACTGCGAGCCGTGCCCTGTAACATCTCGAGGCAAGCACAAGGCGGGTCACGTGGACTCCAGAGGGAAGGCGAGAAAGACCAACCGTACCCAGTTTAGTAGTTAGTGAATTCATTTCCGCCTGCCAGTCTTAAC